GAGGACTGAGTGCGGACCTCGCCCGGAGGGTCCGGGACAGCGGAGGGGGCTGGCCAGGGCCACGGCGGGGGCGCTGGAGGGGGGCGGCCGCGGGCTCTCTCTGGAGTCCGGAATGGAAACAGAAAGTAGCGCCCCGCCGCCGGGAGGGAGGAGGGTCGCCCCAACCCAGACCCGGAGATGGGCGTGACCGTGTCCTCCGCCGGCGGGGACAGAGTAACGACCGAGGGCCGAGAGGCAGCGGGGGCAAGGTGGGCAGCTTGCCGGACCCACCGTCCGCTTGGCCCTGTGGGAGAGCAAAGCCAGCGGGCAAAGGGGACGGGTTTTGAGGGCGCTGAACGTTGGCAAGGGATGAACGCCCACCGGCCGCGGGAGTCGACCCGAGTCGCTTCCCTGCCCCGCCACGGGCAGAGGCGCCGTGACCTTGGACAGGTGTCTTAAGCTTTCAGCGCCTGGTTGACACCACCTTAAGAAGGGACAGGAGCGCTGGGAAAGGTGCAGGACACCCCGGAACCAGCCGATCCCCACAAGACCCTCTGTGAGCGTTGGCTGGCAGCTGAGTGAACGCAGGGTCCCCAGTGCGGGTTGAATACCGCGCTGCGTCCTTGCTGTAGGATGGGGACAGCTCACTGTCCATACCTCCAGATGTGTATCACGGCCCCGAAAAAGTTTGTGACTTTGCACAGCCTGTTGTGGTGAAATCGCAGAGACTTGCATCTAATCGGAGGGAACCCTCCCCGCAGCCTGAGCAAGCAAGCTCTCAGCTAGTCCCCAGCGGAGAACTTGGAAGCCAGCAAGCTGCTGCTTCAGGCTCCTCACAGTGAGCGTGTCTGATGCCTTCAAGGCCATCTGGATGGTGGCCACACTCAGAGGGACGGCTGCTGGGGTGGGGTGGGGGGGTGAGGCAGGGTGACAGGACTCGGATGACCGGGCAGCATCCAGGTACAGGTGCCAGGTGCCAGTGAGCCTGCTGTGGATGTTACCAGACATGTACCTGACTCAGAGGCAGGTGAGCTGGGTCCTGTCAGGGCTCTGAAGAAACCCAAAAACGCAGGGGGAAGGTGCCGGGGACAGAGGTTGTCTCCAGAGCAGCTGATGGACTGTCCCAGGCTGGGGAAGGGTTACTTCACCACCGAGCTGGGGAAGTCCTATTATTTTTAAATTGGTAATAAAAATTGAACGGTGCTATATATCAAGGGGCAGGGAGTGGGGTCCTTCAAAAAGCTGGTGGGAAAATTCCATGATTGTTTCCTTCAATGTTTTGGTGAACTTTTGGAAGCTCCTTTGTATGTGTATACGGAACCCTGGTGGCACAAGGGGTAAGCGCTCTGCTGCACACGAAAAGGGTGATGGTTTGAATCCACCAGCTCTCTGCAGGAGAAAGATGAAGCTGGCTGCCTTCAGCTTTGGACGCCCTGTGGGCAGTTCCACTCTGCCCTCTCAGGTCAAGATGAGTTGCAGTGGACTCAAGGACAGTGGGGTTTTTTGGGGGGGAAAGGGGGGTATGCACATTTGCCATTGAGAAGAGCCCCTGTGGTTGTCGAAGGAGGGAAGGGTGGCTTGAAAAGATGCCTTCCAGAGGAAAAGAGGAGACGCTGTCATTGGCCTAATTGCTGCAATGAAATGTGGGCCTTTAAGACCCGGAGAGCTTTCAAAGGGAGAGACTGGCAACAGGGTGGTTAGCCTCATCCCAGAAAGATGGATGGGTTTTTCCAGGCAGGGATATACAATCGCTGGGCCGCGGACAAGGTGCTTTTCAAATTACCTTGTTCAGTCTCTTACTTTTTCCTTAACAGGGGGTAGTCTTCTTCCGTAGATTGAAAAACCCCAGCCTCAGAGAGGGTCAATTCTCCCTCTGGGAACACACGAGTGGTTGGAGAAGGGAAATTTCACATGCCTCTTAGTAAATGTCCCCATCCCCACCCCACCCAAGAAGTGGGTGAAGCCAGTTTCTGGGATTGGCCAACATTTGCAAAATTCCTGATGCCCACTTTGTGGGGAAAAGGATGGAGCTGAAGAGGAGCCCTGGTGGAGTCGTGGTTACTAGTGAGTGGGCCGCTGACCTCTTGGTCAGAATTCAAAACCACCAGCCACTCCAAGGGAGAAAGATGGGCGTTCTCCTTCCGTAAGGAGTTACTGTCTCGGAAACCCACAGAGGCCATCTGACCCTGTCCCAAAGGGTTGCTGTGAGTTAGAATGGGCTGGAGAGCATGTAGTGAGTAGGGTTGAAGAGAAATCTGACTAAGCTAAGTTGTTCCAGATGTATGCCCAGATACACAAGATGGCTACGGCCAGATGGCAGGGATGCCTATTGCCAGAGTGGTTGGCCTGTGGGTGGAGGGCAGGGCAGTGTGTGCATCTCCAGCAGCAAGCCACAGATCACAGACCTAAAAGTCGAACACTGCTCTTCAATGTCTGCCCGCAAGGCCGGCTTTTCTGCCGTCCTGGCTCCTGCGCCTTGATATGTTAATCGCCAGGCGGCAGGCTGCTCACACCCTCTTCTCTGTGGGCTGGGGCTCAGGCAGTGCTCCTTTTAGTGCATCTGGGAGCTCACAGAAGGCTCCCAGTTCCCAGGCTATTTCAGGAGCGGCCATGTCTGCTGTAGAATGGGGTGAGGGGGGTGGGGCTGTGGGGCTCGGGCAGGGTCTTTGGCTAAGCCGCTTCTCAGCCTGGTGGTTGTGGCACTCTTGCCGTGAGCGTGGTTCTAAGGCTGTTGATTTCTCTTCTAGCTGGTCCTAGTGAGCCCTACATCAGAGCAGTATGACAGCCTCCTTCGGCAGATGTGGGAGAGGATGGACGAGGGATGCGGAGAGACCATATATGTCATTGGGCAGGGATCAGGTGAGCATAGCTTTCCTTTCACTTTGTTTAACCATCCCGGTGCGTGCACGTACCTCCCAGCTTTCTGAACTTCCCAGCCACCAGCCCTCCTGTCTTTCATGTCTGCAGAGCTGCTGGGGAGCACAGAAAAGTGCCCCGTCCTGCCAGTTCCACTGGCGCCTTCCTGAGAAGGTGGTGGTTGGTGTTAGGTGCCCTCCTGTGGGTTCTGACCTGTAGCGACCCTGTGCACAACAGAAGGAACACCGCCCAGTCCCTCGCCATCCTCTGAGACCATGGCCGCAGCACGAAGGCAATCCATCTCGTTGAGGGTCTTCCTCTTTGTCACTGCCCCTCTGCTTCACCACACGTGTCCTTCTCCAGGGACGGGTCTCTCCAGACCACATGTGCAAAGGGTGTAAGACAAAGTCTGGCCCTCCTGACCTCTAAGAAGTGTTCTGGCCTTTCTTCTTCCAAGACTGACCCTTTCAGCAGTCCTTTGAGCAGTTTGTCTTGTGAGCATTCCATGGCACTGTCCCCGTTCTCCTCCAGCACCACAATTCAAACATGCGGTCAAGACGCATTGGTAATTACTGGAGGTTGGCATTTGAAAGTTGGAAACAAAGAGGCAGGATCGGTCGTTGGAAAGTGTGGACATGGTGGCCTTGAGAGGCTCCTCTTTCAAGGCTCCCTTGCCCCGTGGTTTTACAGGCACTGCCCCTTTCTCGCTCCTTGCATTCAGGGAGCTACAGCACCTCGCAAGCAAGGACCCTTCTTAGCCAGGGGAAGAACCAGTTACATCAGATCCGGAATGGAGCCTGCCTTGGGCTTCTCCAGCTTGGGAACCCTTGCACGTTGGCTTAATGACAGCAAGGACAGGAGGGCCAGAGTCCTCATTCTGTCAGCCCTGCCCCAGGCCACACCGACCATCCTGGTGGCCAGCTGGGACAACAGAGCTGTTCTTCTCTCCTCATAGAGCTAGTCAGATATGCAGGCTTCTGACCCTCCTGGAAGGGCTCACTATTCTCCTCCAGGCAGCGTATTTCCTTCGTCTGGTCCCAGTAGGTCGCCCCCTTGACATGTCCCCAGTTATATTATGGGCTCTTTTTCTGTTTGCTCCCAGTGCACCCCTCTCTACACAGGTCTGCGTAGCCCTGCTCATTATGGCATGACCTTGGCTGGAATGACAGCCAGGATTGCTAATGCCAGTCCATCAACCCAGCCTGAGCTGGCACTTGTCCATCGTCTTTGCAGGGCGCCCAGGATGGGCCTGGAGGCATCACGAAAGGACCACTTTCCTCTGATGAATGGAGGCTTTGTGAAGGCAGGTGATGTCTCCTTTAGTCTGAGTTTCAGAGGGATGATCTCTAAATCCTTTCTCAAGCCATCGGACGGAGACCTATTAAGTGTCTTCTACGAGCTGGTTACTGTTATAAAGCACTTTTGGATACTTAAGGCCTGATCCCTGCCTCAAGGATGATAGTGTGTACACACACACACACACACACACACACACACACACACTTTATAATGCTATGCGTGACACAGCAAGAGTGATTAGAGCTCCTAAGTGGTGCCATGCCTTCCTTTGAAATATCATATCTATTCTTTCCACTTGCTACCTCCCCCCAGAGGAGAGTCTTATCACGAAAAGAAGGCATGGTCAGAGAGATAGATCATCCAGGATGGGGAGCAGGAGGGATTTGGTCCACTCCAGCAAATGAGCAAATGCTACCAGAAGCCATTCAAGGTCAGTGTAAGAAAAGCCAAGGTCAATGTAAGAAAAGCCATTCTCTGGGGACTGAGAGATCACTGGTACCCGCCCCCCCCTGCTTTTTTTTTTTTTTTTTAATTTAATACTCTCACTGGCATATCATACACTTCAATAATGCAATCACTGATGGTCTTTTGCAAGCCTCCCATTCAGGTTCGCACCTGTTCTGCTGTAATAGCATCCTCTCCTGCTAGTAGCCCTGTAGTGGCCCTGACTCATAGCAACTCTTGTATGACGGCATTGAAACAGCGCCCGCTCTCACTCCATCCTCACAACTGTTTAAGTGGTCAGCCTTCTCTTGTTGAGGGTCATCTTCCTTTTTGTTGGCCCTCTACCAGGCACTGGTTCCTCTGATAGCACTTCCCAAGTACGTGAGAAAAGGCTCGTGGTCCTTCCTTTTCCAAGGAGCACTCTGGCTGTGCTCCCTCCGAGACAGATGTCTTTGTTCTCTGGAAGTCTCCGGTTCACTAGTTTCCGCTTAGTGTGTCCAGACTCTGAATTTGCTTGATAGTCTCACCGTGTAGAATATAAGGATCACCAACAGATATGGGTAATAAGTGTTCTTTGAAGACCCTGATTAGATTCTTAAGGCCCTCTCTTCCCTCCTGCCCTTTACGGTGACCTGCTGGTAAATTTTTACCATGCCTTGGCAAGTTACCACTAATTAACCCTCTGTGGCAAACCACGAGAATATGTCAAGTATTCATTAACACACAGCCTCCACGCCCAAGCGTTTGTCTTGCATCTGCCAATTGGAAGCTATGATATTGGTAGTGACTCCTTTCTGCTGGAATTCTTTAGAGGAACAAGAAGACTATAACTGGTTAAGCAAGTTCAACCTCAGAGGTCTAAACCAGTTGGCCTTCAGGGGTCAGCTTCCACCCTGTCTTCCTGTGTCTCTTTGGCGCATTGCCTCTGTTCATCACTTCCTTCACCTGTAAAATGGGAATCATGACATCCTTCCCCGCCCTAGCCCAGAGACACTTGATTTGGATAAACTAGACATGAAAAAACGCAATGCAGAAGAATGTGTTCTCTAAGATTTCATTCTTAAATTAGGATTGACAATTTAAAAAGAAGCCATCTGATATGGCAAGTGGTTGGGACTCTGGAGCCTGGCAGCTCTGGGTTTGCCTGTTGGCTCTTTCCTCGTCATAAAGTGGGAATAGTAATGGAATCCATCCTGTGGTTGTTAGGTGTTCTTTTTGTACAGGTTCTGCATAAGCACAATTAAGAATTTCCTTTCTCCACAATGTTACTCAGTTTGTTATGATCCATACAGTCGAATCCCTTTGCACAGTCAGTAAAGCACAAGTAAACATCTTTCTCCTCTTCTCTGCTTTCAGCCAAGATCCATCTGACATCAGCAATGATAAGTCTTCATGCCACGTCCTCTGCTGAATCCGGATTGATTTTCTGGCAGCTTCTTGTAGATAGACTGCTGCAACCGTTGTTGAATGATCTACAGCAAAATTTTACTTGCATGTGATCTTACTGATGGTTTGATAATTTCTGCAGAATGTCACCATTCTTTGGAATGGGCACAAATATGGATCCCTTCCCAGTGGTTGACCAGGAAGCTTTCTTCCACGTTTCTTGGCAGAGACTAGTGTGTGTTTTCAGTACTGTATGTGTTTGTTGAAACATTCCAACTGATACTCTGTCAATTCTTAGGGCTAAGTTCTTTAGCTAAACAATTAGCTCAGTTGTTTCTAGCTAATGTCTCCAGTACAACTTGGGCTTTTCCTTCAATCCCATCATTTCTTGATCATATGCTTCCTCTTGACATGGTTGAATGTTGACCCGTTTTGTTTTGTTTGTACAGTGACTGTGTATTCCTCCCATTTTCTTTTGATGCTTTCTGCGTCATCCAAGATTTTGATTATAAAATCCTTCAATATTGTAACTAAGGGCTTGAATCTTTTTCTTTTTTCAGTTTGAGAAATGCTGAACGAGTTCTTGGTTTTTTTTTTTCTTCCCTTTTTTTTAATCGATGTTTTGTTTTTTTAACTCTAGGTATTTGCACATTTCATTATAGTGCTTTGGCTTGTCTTTAAGCTACCCTTTGAGATGTTCTGTTTAGCTCTTTTGCGTTATCATCTATTCCTTCACTTTAGCTGCTCTGCATTCAAGAGCACGTTTCGGAGTGTCTTCTGCACCCACTTGGGTCTGTCTAGGTTGGTGGGTTTTCCCCTCTGTCTTTGTATTAAGACTGTTGCTTTCTTCATGGGTGGCGCGCTTGAGGTCACTCCACAACTCGTCTGGCCTTTAGTCATTCGTGTCCCATGCCTCAAATCTGGTATTGTAGGGAAGATCAAATGACAACTCAAGGAAAGCACTTGGCATAAGGTGAGCACTATACAAATGTTAGCTAGTATTAATAGTTGTGGTAATAATTTTTAAAGATGCCAAGTTATAGATGATTTACTATGAGATTTCTTTCAAAAAGAACCTTGTTCAGTTCCTAAATTGTGACTTTTTAAAGAGCCTGAAAGTTTAAGAAACCTAAGAAAAGTGTTGAGCCCTCGGGGTGTGTGTGTGTGTGTGTGTGTCAGGAAAAGCTTTTCTCATTGGCCTTTGTCTCCCTGCTCCGAAGTAAGGCATGTGACGCATGCTGGAAAAGGGAAATCTGCTTGATGGTGTTTTCTGGGAGCCCTGGGTAGACAAGGGGACGTTGGTGATTGTCCCTTAATGTGGAACAGGACCCACCCAAGGCACTGCTCTTCCTTGTAGCAGAAGTAGTGAGATCTGATAGAAATGGGGGCTGACGAGAGTGGCAGGTTAGCAGACTGTCTCTTAGGAACACTTCCACCATGTCTTTCTCTAACCCTGAAGGTTTCCAGAGCTGAGCTGGTCAGGCCCTTGGGAACTCAGTCCAACTGGTCCCTCTTGACGCCTCTGTTCGGCATGTGAGGACATCCTGTAGGCAAGGCCTGTTCAGGGTGGTCCTTTGCCTCAAGATGCTTCTGTGTAGTTTGAGTCTGGATAGGGGCATATGTGTGAACCACCGCTCCAAAAGGTTAAAACCAATGATTCCAGCTCGGGGCAAGCACATGTGTGTCAGAGTAGAACTGCCCTCCATAGGATTTTTAATGGCTGGTTTTGCCAAGGTGCCTTTGTGTGGCTTCGAATCTCCAACCTTTTGGTTAGCAGCCAAGCACACGTTCCACTTACACACCACCAAGGGATTCCTCAAGGGAGTGGGTGATACATGAAACCTTTCTGGGAGCAGATGGTAGGAGCTTGGCAGGTGGAGATGTGCTGATGGTGTTCTGGAAGTGGAAACATGGACACACGGGGATGAGGCGCAGAGCTGGGCCAGCTCCGGGCGCACGGCCCACTCACAGGGAGAGCTGGCGGAGGTGTGCAGTAGAGGAGAAGAGACCCTTGGGGATTGAGACTGAGCACTGCTGGCCTTAGGGAGCCATTCGGGCTCTGCGTCTGGTGTGACAGCCTTGTGCATTGCTTAGGAGGGTGACAGCGCCTCTGTGACACCAGGGTTGTTAGGGTCACTTGAGGGTCTGCGTGGTGATGCCAGCAGACCAAGGCTGGTGTGGCACTGGGATCGACAAAAAGGCAGAGAAGGAGGGGGAGATAACACAGCTGGAGTCAGCAGGATGGGATGATAAGAAGGGTCGGTTTGGGTGACCGGATGGCTAGTGCTGTTGTCCTCAGAAGGCAAGATGAACAACTGGCCAGTTGCTTAAGGGGTACCCTTGGTACAGGGCACGGCTCTAGGCTTTCAGTTAGATGGTCCTCACTTGGCCCCTCTGCCCCTCCCAGCTCTGTCCTGTCGCACTTTAGGGGACCTGTGATGGTTTCCTGATAGGACCACTGGCAGAGTTCTTATTACCGTTGCTCAAAAAGAGGAAGGTGCCAAGTTTGGACAGTGGACATCCAGAAGTTATCTCACAAGCAATTGGGAATTCAGCCTAAAGCTTTGGGAAGAAGGTGAATGTTTTTGGAGCTTTGGCAATGAGCATTGAGGCCATAGAAAAAGGGAGGAAAGTTGAGAGGAAGAGGACCACTGGGCGGAGTCTTGTAGAGGACTGGCCTTCAGGGGCCTGCTGCGCGCAGAAGGCTCGTGGAGCAGGGCAGGGAGGAGGCCAACCCAGAGGGTTCAGGGCATAGGCAAGTCAGGAAGAGGAATGGACTTCCCCAAGGAAAAGAAGGTGGCCAGCAGGGTCCAATTTTGTAGGAGTCAAGTAGAGGACATGGGATAGAGGGGTTAGAAGGCCTTCGATGACTTTCCCCAGAAAATGCAGCTTCTCTGTGGAACGCCTCAGGACGTGCGTGGACTTGGAGGACACAGTTTGGAGTGAAGTTAGTCAATCCCAACAGGACAAATTTTGTTGTAAAAGAAAAATCAAGACAAAGGTTTTCATGTTAAAAGAAACAGACTTTGGTGGTTGCCCGAGGTTGGAGGGGAAGCAATAGGCTAGAGACGTATTTCCCAGCATGAGTGTACCGTCCTACGGGGGCACTGCAGTGGTCCAGGGGGGCTGCAGGACCACCTACATCCACTTCATCCGGGACTGTGGGCTATATAGGAAAACTCCAGCTCATGGCCATTGTGCCGAGGCCGACTCATGGGGACCCTATAGGACAGAGTCCTGCCCCTGGGGTTTCCGAGAGTGTAACTCTTCCTAGGAGTAGCGAGCCTCATCTTTCTCCCAAGGAGCCAGGGGCTGTAAGTGTAACTGTGTAACCACTCTGCCATCAGGGCTCCACAGGTGACTTAGTTACCACTGGGCGCTGAGTAATTTTTTTTTCCTCTGGAAAATGGGTCCGTAGGCCAAACAAGGTTGGAAACCTATGGGCTGGATCAGGGATCAGCAAATTTGAGCTGGAAGAGCCAATCCTGTCCCTCACAACAGTTAAAAATGATGCAAGAGCCACAAATGTACTTTTACAAACAAAGGAAATCACCCCGATATGGATGACATCCTTTAAAACGTTCTATTTTCACTTCAGAGCCGCACGCACGTGCTGCCTATGGCCCGAGAGCTGCCGACCCCTGGGCTAGAGGACAGACAGATGTTGGCTCAAGTCAGGGGGAGAGAGGGGTTTTAAAAAGTAGGGGACAGGGCTAGCTATGGAGGTGTGATACCAAAACATGATGAAATGTAACTCCCCACTCCCCACCTAATTCAAAATAGTGGGGGGGGGGGTTGTTTAGTTTAGTTTTTTAAAATATAAAGGCAGTGTCGTTGAGAACTGTCCAGTTTAGAGAGTATGTAGCGAGGAAGTGCAGTAAGGAACTGTCAGCACTTCTGAGATGCTTGGTGCTAAAACAGATGAGACATGGCAGCCCAGTGGACGCGCAGGGGGAGGGCAGAGGAGCAGCAGGAGGAAGGGGGTTCCTTTCCTTAGTGTGTGAGAAGCCCTGGTGCATCGCACTGAGCTGCTAACTGAAAGGCCAGCCGTGCGAACCCACTGCCTCTCCACGGAGACAGGCCAGGCCGTCTTCTCCTGTAAGAGTGGCGTCTTGTCAGCCCCGTGGAGGGGAGGGAAGGGAAGTGGAGAGCAGTTAGCTGCTGAGATCTCTCCAACCAACCAGACTCGCCGTCCAGCCGGTGCCAACTCCTAGAGGACAGGGAAGGACTGTCCCTGTGGGTTTCTAAGATTATAACTCTTTTTAAAATTTTTAATTTTAGTTTCATCTTTTTTTATTTTATTTTATTTTTTTTTTATGATTGTAACTCTTAACGGGAGAGGAAAGCCTCCTCTTTCTCCCATGGAGCTGCTGGTGGTTCCACACTGCCGACCTTGCCGTTACCATCGCAGTGTACAACCATGACGCTGAGGCGGGAAAAGAGGATGGTGGCGGAATCACGGAGTAGGGGCAGGGTGCGCGCCAAGCCAGGCAGGCAGGAGGACGCGCTGAGGGAGGTGGTGGGAGAATGAACTGCGACGCCCCGTTGAAAGCCCCCTCGTGGTTGTCATTCATGTGAGCAGCAGGTGCTGCAAACAGGATGGTTGATGGGTGCTTGTTTGTCTGGCTCCCTGTCTGATCCCGAGCACAGAGCCACCTTCCCAGCCGTCTCATCTGCTGGACATTTTCCCTGAGCTGTCCCTGCTAAAAATCTGTCTCTGAGATAACTCAGTTCTCATCCATGCTCCTCCCTCTTGTCGCCTGGATTGTTAGAGTCCCGTCCTAAGGGGACCTGCCCTCCTGGTCTGCAGCCACTGCCCGGCAGCTCTTTGTAACCCACAGCCTTCGGTCCTGACTCCCCTGTCTGAACACCCCACCCACCCTCCTGCCCAGGCTGCCCTCTGCCCAGTCCACAGGGTGTTTGCCGTGTCTCTCTAGTTCCCCACCACTCTAGCAGCCTCTGGCCACTCTGTCACCTGCCAGCCCCAGCATCCTGACCTTCTTGTGGGTCCGCCACCTGCCGTGTCCTGCCAGCTCCACACTTCACTCCTGGGCCTGCGATGCCCCTCCTTTTTTCTCACACCTGCAGCCCCAGGGTGGCATTGGCACCCTGTAGAGCTGCCTCCCTTCCCCCAACAAGACCACTTGTTTCTGTTCACAGGCGCTCTCCCGGCGGGCGGGGGGGCGAGCTAAGGGCACCTGTATTCCCAGGCTTGGCCGAAAACCTAGACATCTAGTCTCGTCTCTGTAGTTGTTGGTGAGCGAATTCCCAGATGCCCTGGGTAATCGGGAAACCATGGCCCGGAGTTGAGCTGCCAGTGGCTTGGGGGCCTCTGTGAGGTGGGGGGGGATGCCTGCTGGTTACGCTCTGGCTCTTGCTTCAGATGGGACTGAGTACGGGCTGAGCGAGGCAGACATGGAGGCCTCCTACGCTACCGTGAAGAGCATGGCCGAGCAGATCGAGGCCGACGTCATCCTCCTGCGGGAGCGGCAGGAAGCCGGCGGCCGAGTCCGGGACTACCTGGTGCGGAAGCGTGTGGGAGACAATGACTTCCTGGAGGTCAGGTGAGACGGCCTCAGCCCCCTTCCCTTTAGCATGATC